CCCTCCCCTCCCCTCCCCTCCTCTCCCTATCCCTGGTAATCACTCAGAAACTTTGATCTCTGTATACCTGCCTAGCAAATTGATGTGAAACTAAATTGACACTTTGGTTTTTCAGGTCCTAAACATGCAGCTTTCAGATGGAGGACAAGGAGATGTCCCGGTTGATGAAAACAAACTCCACGGTAAACCTGATAAAACCTTGCGCTTTTCCCTCTGCAGTGATAATCTGGAAGGAATATCTGAAGGTGAAGGGTTACTTCATTCAAGGAGTTGTGTGATTCAAGTAATACTTGTTTTATGTTCTTTAAAGGAGCCTTATAAATTTTAATTAGGCCATCTGTGCCTTTCACTGAGGAAAGTAATGATGTTTTCTACTGATGAACTTGAACAGTTGGCTGTAAAAATTGTTGTCAGACTAAAATTAAGATTGTAAGAGACCTTGTATGCTTTAAAATGGAAACAGTAGAGGTCTTCATAGAGACTTAAAACATAAGAAGTTTTTGTTTTTCCAGAATTTATATACACCAAAGCTTATAGAGCTCCTTTAGAGGGATATGATGCATGTTTGAATGAAGAGAAGAATGGGCTCACAAGTATTTCAGAATGTTGTGCATAGTTTTGAGTGTTTTGTGTATCTCTATCCACATATTTTCACACATATTTTTATGAAGTAGAGGTCAACAGTTGTTGTTAGGTGCAATTAAGTCAACAGCTTGTAGTGACCTTGTGAACGACAGATCTGCTTGCCTATCCTGTGCCATCCTCACGATTGCTGATAGGCTTGAGCCCATCATTACAGTCACTGTGTCAGTCCATTTTGTCGAGACTCCTCCACCTTTCTCTGGCCTTCCACCTTTCCCAGCATAATGTCTTTTCCAGTAGAAATAGAAAAAGGAAAGAAAATTAGAAACCAAGATACTAGACCAAAATATTTTTGTAATGAAAAATGTTTATGGGTATTTATCTAAAAATTTTATTTAAAAAAAAAATCATGCAGAGAGCTCTGGTGGCCTAGTGCCAAGAAGCTGTGCTGCAATCCCGAAGGTACACGGTTCAAATCCAACAGGTACTTTGCTGGAGGAGGGGCAGTCTCCTCCTGAGCCAGTCACATCTGATCTGACCATACACACAACAATTTAAAAAAAAATAAAAAAATCATGCAACTTAAGTATTTTCATTCTAAAGGAGGAGAAACAAAATCATCTCTAATCTCACTATTCTGGTAATAAAAATTAACGTTTTGATGTATATGTATAGAAGAATTCAGTTTATAGTGTTTTATTTAACAGTGTAACAGTAATAACATTCTTGTGACTTTTACATTCATATGGAGATACTGCAGTTTTAAGCATTTTCCTGTGATTAAACATTTGCATTGCTTGTACTTTTGAGACATAGAAACTGCAGTGAGAAAATTTACATTTATTTTTTTAAATGTCTTTAAAATAATTTCTTAGAAGCAGAATTGCTGGTTTAAAGAATATGTGTTTATATGTATATGTCTAGACACACAACATACTTACATATAAACATATTTTACATAGGTTTTCTTTTTTGGAGCAGTTACACAGAATTGTGCAGTATATAGTTACCATATGTTTCCTTTCTCATATCCCCACATAGTTTCTACTAACAACATCTCACTTTAATGTAATATATTTGAATACCAATATTGATACAATATTATTAACATCACTCTTACACAGATCTATGGGTTTTGACAGAAGGATAATAGCATGTGTCCATCATTATACAGTCATATATATGTTATTGTTGTTGTTAAGTGCCTTCAAGTTGTAGACAACGCATAATGATCCTATGAACAAAAGACCTGAACGCTTGTATAACTTTGGTCATTTCTCCGTTTTCATAGAGTTTCTGAAGGCAAGGCATTTCGGAAGTGGATGCCACTCCTGCTTCCAAGCTTGTTTTAATTGGGAAGTGCCACCAAACACTGTCCACTATGGGTAACCATTATTGCATTTTGGCACATCAGTGTCACAGTGTTTAGCATTACAGCAACCATGAGTTACCTCTGTACAGGAATGCACAGACCAGTGCTATACCACTTAGAAGAATGCTTGACAAAAAACTGTCCACTAGGCCAACTTAGCTCCCTCTATGTTGTCATTGTTATATACTGCACTAAAAAAGCCTTGTGGTTCATCTCTGTCCACATGCCTTCCAAACTCCTAGTAACCATTGGCTTTTTCACTCACTATATAGTATTGCCCATTGTAGAATATCTCAAAAGTTTTGGGCTAGCTTCTTTTACTTAGCAATATGCAAATACATATATGTATGTTGTTGATTGCCTTTGAGTTAGAGCATGACTCATAGTGACTCTATGAACAAAAGGCCTGAAGCTCCTCTACAACTATCAACATTTATCAAAGTTCATAGAGTTTCCAGAGGCAAGTTGTTTAGGAAGTGGATGCCACTCCTGCTTCCAAATACACACACACACACGAGCCCCCCCCCCCCGAATCCAAGTCATCAATTTCATAAGATGGAAAAAGAGCAGAAAAAGGCAGGAATGCTAGCCAATTGAAGTTAGTGTATTTGACTTTTACAAATTGTATGCAAAAACATATTAGCACACTGCATGTATTTTTGGAAGAATCTTTGCACATAATCCATGCATCTCAGCCTCATGGTGAATCTGCACAGCAGTGTGCTGTTACTAACTTATACGGACTTATGAGAACTAGTTGTAAGCTTTTCTTCCCAGCTTCATGTTCAATGATTCCTTCTTGGTAGCTCAAGATTAGCCAGGATGGAAGTCTTCATACCAAAAAAACTCAGCTGACATCTGCTCAGATTTCCAGTTATTTGACCTGTTTTGAATTCAAGGAGAATGTTAGCAGCAAGTCTGGCTTTATTAATGCAAACATATTTTTAAAACATAAATGAATTATTAAAAACATTTTAATTAGCCGTTAGTTTCTTTTCAAAGCATGAAGAATTGCATGGTGGCTCATGGCTATTTTAAAACAGTCACTCATGAGAAAAACATTTCTCTAGGTCCTTCAAATCGCTCCAATTCAGTGTCCTCTCTGGATCTGGAAGGAGAATCTGTATCAGAACTTGGAGCAGGACCTTCTGGGAGTAATGGAGTTGAAGCTCTGCAGCTGTTAGAACATGAACAAGGTAAGGTGAAGTTGAACACTGTTGCTTAAATAGCAAAGAATTTACCTGTTGCAAAATAAGCAAAATACTTGCTTGTAAATTGGTTCTACTCAGTAAGAGAATAAATTTAACTATGTAAAGACCACTAAGTTTGTATTTATTCATTGTCCCTTCATTTTGTGAAAATGTACTTAGTTGGTAAATTAATTGCTGAGGCTTAAATGACACAGGATAGTGTTAAATTACAGAGACTACAGGGAGCTCTGGTGGCCTAGTGGCAAGAAGCTGCACTGCAATCCTAGAGGCATGCGGTTCAAATCCACCAGATCTCTGCTGGAGAAGGAGGGGCAATCTCTTCCTGTACCAATCAGATCTGATTTGATGGTACACACACAAAAGGAAGCCTTACTCATATACAGTGCCACCCAAAGGTAATAAAGGAGGTCAGAATTGCTTCCACTGTGGAAAGCTGGGCCACTTCAGTAGACGGTGTCACAGACGAGAGCCACAGATAGGCAAGGGAGTGGAGAAGAAGCTCCCACTCACTTGCTTTAAGTGTGACTCTGAAGGACACTTGGCCAAGGGTGGCCCACATCAGGTCCTCGTGGCTGACAGGACTGACAGGCCCCAGCTCCCAGCTGGAAACAAAGGAGGACGCTTCAATGATTTAGATCCTTCCTGAAGAGCTGTGGGTGAGCATTAACATTACTGGTAAGTATATTCATTTTCTCCTGGACACAGAGCCTACTAATTGGTCCTAAAAGCCTTCTGAGGTCCCAACTCTTCTCACTATTTCGTAGTTGTTGGAATGGACAGAAAACCTCATAAGCAGTTCCTTACTTCACCTCTACCTTGCATGTGAACTTCCAAGTTGTAAAACAACCCAGTGGTAGATGGAATTTGCTCCAGGACTTAAGAATCATAAATGACATAGCTGAGCCTCTACATCTTGTGGTTCCTAACATTATAATAGCATTATAATAGACAAAGTGCTAGTCTATAGGCCTTTTATTGTAAGAACCACCTTCCCTCTGTAACTTGATTTGTGCTACTATTAGAACCTCTGCTCAGAATATTACTGCTTTTTAATTTTTTACTCATGTGCTTTTAACTTGTTAGTTAAATTTGTGTCTTCTAGGCTGCAACACTTCCGTGATACATCTTCAAGGATATGAACATGTACGGCTAAGCACAATTGATAACAGTGCATCTAAATTCTAAAATCAATCTCCATAATAGTCTATGTGTTTCCTACTGCCAAAGGGGCCCTTTAGAGTAGTGAGAGAAGATCTTCACCCTGAAACCCACAGGGTCCCTTTTCAGCAGGAAGTAGCTAAGAGAATACGCCATCCCCTTTTCCTTATGAATCAGGGTGAAGTCTCTCTCAGGGAGGAGAGATAGGGAATGGCAAAGGACACACTGACAAGGAGATTAATCAGAACTGGCTTTGACAAGCACTGTGACAATTGGACAATTAAAACACATTCGGTGGGGGGCGGGGGAGAAGAATGAACTGGGGAGGAGGGTAGAGAAAACAGTGCAACAATGAATGAATGAATGAATGAAAACCCAAAATCTCTGTAAATCTTCATTAAAACTAATAAAATTTAATAATAATTTTTTAAAAAAGATAGTTTAAAAAAAGTACACAGACTAGTGACCCTGTGAACAATAAATCTGAACCTTGTCGTATCCTGTCCTCATTATCTCTTACACACTTGAGCCCTTTGCTGCAATATCTACTAGCATACCTTTATATGTATGCAAGTTTACTCTTGTATAACCTCACTTAACTATTTAGCATACATATTTACTCATATAACTACTCGTTGATCGTTAGTTATTACTACTTGTGCAGAACTGTATTTGCTATAGCGTTTACTGAAATTTTGTACCTCTCTATCTTCCTTTGCCCTTGACACATTGTGTTATATTCCCCCAATTTATGTATTCTTTCTCTTTACTAGAAGTCAACTCATATCTACTTGCCTGTGCTTCTTCTGCTCTCCCTCTTTGTTCTTGGTAACCATCAAAAACTGTTTCTTTATGTATGTAAATCTGTGCTTGAATTTTTATAATAGTGCTGTCATATAATATTTGCCTTTTTTTGTGCTTCACAAATTTCACTTAGTGTAATGAGCTCCAGGTTTCTTTCAGATAGTAAGATTATTATTATTCATTGTTTAGTCTTATATATGTACCATATTATATCCATTCATCTGTTGATGGACACTTAAATTGCTCCCATCTTTTTGCTATTGTGAATAATGCTCCAATGAACATGAGTGTACAGTTTCTACCACTCTTCTTTTTCTGGCATAAATACCTAATTTTTAAAAGAAGTTTTGTGCTGTTTTCCATAGTAGTTTTACTACTTTTTTTTTAGTAGTTTTACTACTATTAAAAAGTGCTTAATTTTGTTTTTTGATAGCCACAACACAAGATAACCTTGATGATAAGCTAAGGAAGTTTGAAATTCGAGACATGATGGGACTAACAGATGATAGGGACATATCAGAAACAGTGAGTGAGACCTGGAGTACAGATGTCTTGGGAAGTGACTTTGACCCTAACATTGATGAAGATCGCTTACAGGAAATTGCAGGTAACTACTGTTTAATGTCTTTGGAAGATTGTTGTTTAGATTTCTTTTTTTTTTTTTGTTTTTTTTGTTTGGATTTCTTATATCACTCACCCTTCATGGGAAAAAGTTTCAGTGCTCTGACAGACATGATGTATTAGGACTAATGTAAAAACTGATAACTGTATGTGACAAGGCAGTTTTGGCCTTTCCAACCCAGCCTGAATATGAGTAGTAGTCTTTCTTTTTACACTTAACTCCCTTACATGCCTCCCCTCAAGAAAAGAAAACCTAATCTTTTCACTTAGCTACTGGTCAAGTCTTATTTGCTTGACATGGTGTATGTTCTTAGTAGTCAGTAATTACTTTATTCTTTTAAGATCAAATGCATTACCTTAAGATAAAAATTCTTGCAATTATGCCTGTAACATCATGTGTTAGATTACAAGATTTACTTCTGAAAATTTTCTATTGAAAAGGTAGCTTCTGTTCCAAAGAAACTATATTGCTCTTTTTTTAATGTTAAATTTATTGATTCAGGCATAATTTATAAAAAAAATTCATAACATTTTTTCGGGTATTGCTGTATAAGTACTAAAGATTCGTAACAGTACTAAAGATTTGTAACAGTTTTTTAATGACCTCCTTAGTTTTCTTTATAATGGAAAAGTTCAAGCAAATAAAGAGTACACTTATGAACTCAGCTTTAGCAGGTCTGTCCACACATGGCCATTTTCATGTCAGCTGACCTCCCACTCACTTTCCTTTTCTCCCGTCTGCCATCATTGTGTTAAAGAAATTTGATACTTTATTTTATTTGTAATTAGTCCATGATATATCTTTAAAAGATAACTTTTACTAGTGATTTTTTTTCTTTCATGCACTGAATGGAGTAGAATTATTTTTATTATGCCTAGCAGAAGGAGTAGAGTAGTCTGAGCCTGAGTATTTTTAATGCAGGGGTACAATAATGTTTAATCCTTCTTCTTTGTATTTCTAAGTAGTGTAAATAGATTTCTTAATTGGTTTTACATTACTTTATTCCAGATGCCAAAGTAGTGTTTTTCCTGGCACTGATTGTAAACTGTACTTGCATTTGAATGAGTGCTCTGGAGGATGTGTGTATTTTACTGCAGGCATATTTTATTGCTTTAAGTGTATGAGTAGATTTCTGGAATAGAACATATTTGGCCAGTATAACTTCCTAAGTTTACATCTTGCAGTGTTCCTTTTTTCTTTAGTGTTTTTAATTTTTGTTAAAATCCCATTGCTGTCAAGCTGCCCTTAAGTCATAGTGACCCTATAATACAAAGAATTGTCCCACAGGATTCCCAAGGCAGTCTTTAAGGAAGGCGACTACTTGCTGTCTTTCTCCCATGAAGGGGCTGTTACATTTGAACAGCTGACCTTTTGGTTAGCCACTGAATGTTTTTAACCACTGTGCCACCAGATCCCCTCTTAATCCTTGTAAGATTATGCATTTTAGAAAAATATTAGGGACGTATAAACTTTGCTGTAAAACCAAGGTGAAAGTTAGTTGAAATGACTTGACCTGATAATGTGTGTTTTTTCTATGGAGAGTCAAAGCCGAATAGGAGGAAACTGATGAACAAGAAGTTGTACCATTGTGACCAGAATGGGAAATTTGTGTTTTGAGTGATGTTATTACTTGAAATTATTCTTACCTGACTTCTTCCTTGTGGGTAGAGTAGAGAGGAGATTTTCTTAGTTTTGTGTGTGGCCTTTCCGTTGTCTCTGCTCTTTCCATTAGGATCTTTTGTTAACCCTTTGCTCCCCACTGGTTATACAGGTGCAGCAGCAGAGAACATGTTAGGCAGTTTGCTGTGCCTACCAGGTTCAGGGTCAGTGCTTCTTGACCCCTGCACTGGTTCTACTATATCAGAGACAACCAGCGAAGCTTGGAGTGTAGAGGTATTACCAAGTGACTCAGGTTAGTATGTCATCATTGTTTGCTTTTTCATTTGCACAGAAGTTTTAAATGTAAGGTGTCCTGATTTCTGTTTTATGTACATTTGTTAGTTATGCATTTGACAAGTGTGAGACAATCACTAGTTGAGAATTTCAAAGGGAAATGAGGGTATTTTTTTATTCATCTGTCCATTGGATGGCATAGGCTAAGGTCTTTCTGCCTCTGTGTTCAGTTACTTTAGGAGCAGTTGTTAGTAACTCATCAGGGTTCTGTGTGGAATACTGAGTTCAGTGTCTCCCACTAACTTCATCACAGGATAGAAATTGAACACAGTTCAAACCCTAAATAGTTGGATGCCTGGTAAGCATGTTTAGATTTTATTATAGGGGATAACATTGCCTTTTAAAAGAGGTTTAGTGTATTTTTATAAGACATTGAAGTTGAGACTCTGGGGTACTGAGAATTCATTTGAGCAGAATTATAAAATATGTTTGAATTAACTGTTTTTTCCTGTATATTGCATTTGAACTTTTCTCCTGATTTCATTTAATCTTCAAATAAGATTCAACTGCTAAAATACAAATAAAAGTAACTTCAACTACTAGAATGCAAATATAAATAATTATATATTTGCATTCTGTTCTATTTAAATTACTTGGTTCAAGAATATTTAAGTGATCTTTGTACTTTATAATGTTAAGACATTCAGTTACATTCTAACAACCTTCCTATAAAGAATGGCATTAGTTTACCAGCTACAAAACATGCATAGAAGGGTTTTTTGTGTTTGATGTTCTAGTCCCTTCCCCACCCCCAAGTAATTGATTTAATGCCAAGTTTTTTTGTACTCCCATTGTCCAGTGTCTGGTTTACACTTTAACCAACAATGTATTTGATGGCATTAGTGATCTAGAAATAGTACATTTCAGTGCACTATTAACTGGCTTACACTAGGATAGAAATCACAATCTTGACAGTTACCACTTGAACTAACTAATTTTGCAACTGGCCAAGACTGAAAACTTACACTGATTCCATTCATGTCCTGCTGGCTTTCGTCATCTGGATCTCAAAATGAAAAAACCTGTGAGTTTTAACAGAATCACTAAAGGGATCCCTCATATGTTGTGTTTAGAGGCTCCAGACCTGAAGCAGGAGGAACGTCTACAGGAACTGGAAAGCTGTTCTGGACTGGGTAGCACATCTGATGATACGGATGTCAGGGAGGTCAGTTCCCGCCCCAGCACACCAGGCCTCAGTGTTGTGTCGGGTATGTCTGTCTTGTTTTAAGGAATAAGGATTTGAGGTGTGTTACTTCCCCTGTTCACATTTATAAAATTGATATCAAAGAGGAGAGATGTATTTTAGTGAAGATCTGAGTAATTTCCAATAAACAAAATTATTTCTAGGGAACCTTAAATCTCTAAGAACTTAATGTTTGACATTATAGAGCCTTTTAAGTAATTGGCTAACAATCTGTGTACTGTGTAAACAACTTTCTGCAACTCTTCTTGTTCGCCTCTGCCTTTGTATTTATAGATCACATCAGAATTTTGATTGTTTTTCAGATTAAGTATGTTTAATACTGTTAATACTGAATAGCTTACAAATATGAAGCTGAGACATCCAGAATTTGAAATTATTTCAATTTCTCCAAACGTCATACACTTTTTGTGTGATGATTTTGTTGTTCTTTCCTTTTATTTTTTTACTTTTTTTTTTAAAGGCATAAGTGCAACTTCTGAGGATATTCCAAATAAGATTGAAGACCTGAGATCTGAGTGCAGCTCTGATTTTGGGGGTAAAGATTCTGTCACTAGTCCAGACATGGATGAAATAGCCCATGGTAAGAGGTTAAATATGAATGATTTGATCAGATTTGTGGGGACAGTGGCATTCTTACACATTGCTGGTGATATAAATTGATTATAACAACTTGGGATGTATTTTGGCAGTATGGTTATAAAGCCTTAAGCATTCTAAAATTGGCCCATTTGCTTCATTTCTTCCATAAGCAGACAAGTTACAAGGAAGCAAACAAGTTACAAGGAAACAGTTCTGTGCATGAAAGAACCCTAGTGGTGAAGTATGTAATGTGTTGGCTGTTAAAAAGGTTGACAGTTTGAAGCCAGTAGCTGTTCTGTGGGAGAAAGATGGGATATCTCCTCCTATAAAGATTTACAACCTCTGAAACCCACTGGCTGGTTGCCGTGAGTCAGAATGGACTTTGAAGCAGTGGGTCTTTAAGGTTGGGGAGCGGCAGCGAGGAGGCTAGCCAAGGAGGCTATTACATGCTTGGAGAAAAATCTATACTCAAAGATAGTCTCAACATTTATATTACCAGAATGCTAGAAACAACTAAGAATTTGAAAATAAAATGACAATGTAGTTTTTAAAAATTTAATTTTTTTAAATTACTAACAGTTTAAATATTGGGCTCTGCATTGTGAGGTACCTTGCCTTTCTTTTTACTTTTGTTTGTTTTAAACAAGTATCTCTCAACATTATTGACATTTTGGGTGTCATTCTTTGTTGTGGAGGTTGGTCCTGTTTAACATAGAATGTTTGGTGACATTCCTATTAACTATTGGATTTTCCTTTCTCCAATTATAACAACTAAAAATATGTCTAGATATCATCAGATGCCCTCATAGGGAGCAAAATAAACCCTTGGTTGAGAACATCTACTCTAAAGCAGTAGTTCTCAAAGTGTTTGTGAACCACTTAGGGTCCTTAAGACTTTCGAAGGAAAGTGGCACAAAGTCAAAAATTGTTTTCCTAATAATACATAAGAAGCTATTGCACTTTTCACTGTACTGATATTTGTACCAGTGTTTCACAGTCAAAAGAATAGGTAAAACTGCTGGAGCCTCAAGCATGAATCAAAGCAGTGACACTAAACTGTGCTGCTATCATCTTTGTATCCTTCATTTGCAGTTGTAATAGGTTTTTTTAACTTATGAATGTCATTAAGGAAGTAGTTAACAGTGTTCATTTAATCACATTTCAAACCTGAATATACATCTTTTTAATATCCTGTGTGAATAACTAAGAAGTGCCCTCCATTAATTTCAGTTGCTTTTCAAAATATGAGACATCTCAAGGAAAATCGCTTACGTGATTGAGTTCTGAGCTTAACTGGATGTTTTGTTTCTCGTAAAAGGCCATTTTCTCTAGAACAAAGCAGTAGTAAACAAACTATGGTTATTCTGACTAAGCCAGATTTTTTTTTCAAAAATTAACAAAGTGAGCCTGTCACTTTTAAGGAGAAATGACTTAAAATGTAAAATTTGTTGCCAATGGTAAAATTTAAGCTTTGAAATGAAAATTAGAATTTTGGAAAACATCTCTCCTTGAGCTTGAGAGCCTCTACTCTTTAGGGACTTTTCTTGTGAGATAGTGGTGATATGAAGGATACTGCTTTTTTATATGATACAGTGAATTATGTCAGTGTTTGGAAGATCTGCCTTGATAAACCATTGTTTTCAAGATAACTAATTCTCTAAAATCATGTGTGAGTAAAATGTCCGTTTGGAGTGTGAACAGATTAATTAATTTGTAACTGTACAAAAAGTTCATTGATAGGGTTTCAGGTTCCACGTTGTAGCTAATAAAAAAAGAAAATAATACTGTAGTATCAAAAAACCATAGTCACAGTTACCTAAAAAGGCTATTTAAATATCTCTTTTCCAGCTACCTTTCTGTACGAAGTCCGATTTTCTTTGTTAGCAAGATAGTTTATAGCAACAGAATGAATACAGAAGTAGATTTGAGAATCTATATGTATTCTGTTTTGCCATACATTTTAAAAAACCTTAAAACTTAATTGCCATCAAGTGAAAACCAACTCATAACTGACCCTTCCTTGGATTCCTGAGGTTGTAAATCTCACGGGAAGAGGTTGCTCGCCTTTCTCCTGAAGAGCTGTTAATTTGAACTGTCAGAGAGGCATGGTCTTGGAGTTAGTCATGCACTTCCCCAGAGACTACCATCAGTTTCCTGTATTTTAAAGGAATTTACAGAAATATAAAACAGTACCATTTATTCCTAATAGTTTTTGTTTTGGAAAATACAATTTTTCATTTACAAAGTATTTCTGTTACCATTTAATGGGTTTGTTATTTTAAAATAAATCAAATATTTTTAAAATTTTTGTTTTAATTTTTAATACAGTGAATACCAATATTGTTGTTGTCATTGTTAATTGCCATCGAGTTGAGCACAACTCATAGTGACTATGAACAGAAGACCTAATGCCTTTCCATAATTATTGTCATTTCACCAAGTTTATAGAGTTTCCAGAGGCATGTGGTTTAGGAAGTGGATGCTTCCAAACTTGTTTTACAACTGGGAGCTCCACCAATCACTGTCCACATTGGGAAGCCCTTCTAGTATTTGATACCCCAATGGCACAAGGTTCAGCATCACAGCAACCCAGGTTACTTCATACTGTACATTGACAGAGAGTGATATACAAAGTGGAAGAGTATTTCTCCAGATATAACAGCACTAGTTTCACTTAGCAGTGATTAAGTGTCATCAAGTCTAATATGACTGAGAGGAAGTTTTGCATAAAAGACCTAAACTCTGTTTTATGACTAACATCATTTCTGTACAGAACTCTGTTCAATAATGCCATAATTTCTGTACATTTATAGAGTTTAGAGAGTTTGTAGAGTTTCCAGAGGCATATAGTTTAGGAAGTGGATGCCACTCCTGCTTCCCAGCATAAATCAATCTGGAAGCTCATCCAAACACTATACATAATGGCTAACCATTATGGTATTTGACAAGACTATGGAATGGTGTGCAGCATCACAGCAACACCAACTTAAAAGCATTTAGGATAAAAAAGTTTGAAGAATTTAAAGATCCTGAAACCTTAATTTTGAGAAATGCTATATAAAGTATCTTTCATTATGTCTATGGGTTTGTTTGTTTTTTTTAAAGTAAAATATAAAATGAAGAATACAAAAAAGATCAAAAGGCATAAAAATACTATCATTTTTATTTAAAAAAGTAGTTCAGATTAAGGGATTTTAAATATGTACAACCTCTGCATTTTTGTTTTATACTTCCACTCTTAGTTTTTTAACCATATGTTTAAAGAAGTCATATTTTAGAAAGTATTATATTTTCATAATTATAATTAATTTTTACTGTAATCTTTTTTAATTATAGAGTAATTTTCTGAGAGTAATATTCTAAAGTTTAAAGCTTTTCATTAGTCCCTTTTCTTCAGGTATTATAGCCTCTGTTTTTCTAGGTGAGGAAAGTGTGTCTCAGGGAACATGTGACTGATGAGTCTAATGGTTTAGCTGTTCTGACTCCGCTCTTTGCATTAACCTTTGGCCATTAATAGTAATAGACATGGGCATTTCTATATCCACTTAATTATAATTAAGATCTATGAATGTAGATTAAAAACAAAATTAATTTGAAGTAATCACAGTTTTATATTTATTAGGGTGGGGTTGGTTTTGGGGGGGGTTTTTTTGCCTTGTCTGATATGCTCCTCAAATTCTAATTGATGAGAAAAAAGAAATGCTCAAAGAGTGCTTGAGCCCCCAAATTCAAGTTGGTTTCATAGTTTGGTATTCTGTTTTAGGGGCCCATCACTTGACCTCTCCTCCTTCTCAGTCAGAGTCTCTGCTTGCCATGTTTGATCCGCTGGCGTCACATGAAGGTAAACCAGAGGGGTGAACTTTTTGACTCTTGTGTAGAACACAAACAGAAGACAGAAATTAATACCCTTTATTTGTCCCTTTGTTGCATCATTTTTGTGTAAGTTCCTAAAAGCTTTTTCTGTGTTCAAGGCACTTCTGCTGTGGTAAGGCCAAAGGTTCACTATGCCAGGCCATCACATCCACCACCGGATCCCCCCATCCTGGAAGGAGCTGTGGGAGGAAATGAGGCCAGGTTGCCAAACTTTGGTTCACATGTTTTAACTCCAGCCGAAATGGAGGCATTCAAGCAAAGGCATTCTTACCCTGAGAGACTTGTTCGCAGCAGGAGCTCTGATATAGTATCTTCTGTCCGACGACCTATGAGTGACCCCAGCTGGAACCGACGTCCAGGGAATGAAGAGCGAGAACTCCCTCCAGCTGCAGCCATTGGTGCTACTTCTTTGGTGGCTGCACCTCACTCATCATCTTCGTCCCCGAGTAAGGACTCCTCAAGAGGAGAGGTATGGGACTTAGGCCATATAATAGAATTTGTTAAGCAATTTCTGTCTTATTTTTGGTGAAGTCTTTTTTTATTTTGAAATGATCTCAAGTGACAAAAGACCTGGAAAAACAACACTTTTTCTCCCTGAACCATTTTAGAGTTATTGCCAACCCAGTGTTGTCATCATCTCTGAATACTCCTATTCTATAGCCACCCAAACAATGAACTTTGATGCATTATTATTACTGTAATAGTCTCAAGCACCATTCGTATTTCCCCACTTAACCTAATACTATTTTTTTAATAGTGTAAAAATCCCATTTAGAATTGTGTATTATTACTTTTCATGTCTTTTTCATTCTAGAACAGTTTTTCTTTGACTCTTAATTACTTGAGTATGTGGAAGTAACAAGCTACTTATTTTTTAAAGTGTCCCCATCTTAAGTTTATTAGATGTTTTCTTATGATTAGATTCAGGTCAAACATCTTTGGCAGGAATATCTCTGAAGTAAAAGTGTGTTCTTTTTATTGCATCCTGTCAGGACCCAGTGTTAATTAGTCCATTACTATGATACTTATTTGGACCACTTGATGCAGTTCCTTTCTGCTACTCTTTAACTGTAAAGTTCCTCTTTTCTCCTTTGTAATTTAATAGATAGCTACTTAAGGGCTGTAAATACTCACTTCCTCATAGATTTTTAATCCACTTGCTAATTTATGCTTATAGTCTTGTTTTCTATTTCAGTCAGTGGATTTGTTGCTCCTTTATTTTGAAACCCAATTGTCACTTATTTGGCCAGTTGTCACTTCAGGTTGGCTCCTGGGTCCTTAAATGCTGTACTATTCTTTGAAGATTTCTTTGCTATCTGACACAAAATGTTCCAAGTTTGTGCTGTACTTTGTCATAGTCTTGAATTGGCCATTTCTCCAATGAGCCTTTGTTCTTTTTAGGGGAAAATGGTTTTTAGAACTCAGGATTTGAATACAAACCGCCTTTTCCTGAGACCATATTGTTGCATTTAGGACAGTTCAGTGGGCAGGACTAGGGGGATATGTTTCTGTAACTTACATGTAAATTAATATTTGTTTTTATCTCTTTACCTTTCTATGTATATATAATCTGAAGACCATGAGCTCTTACCAGTATAATCAAATAAGTCCAACAGTGCATATCTCATGTTTTCTTTCTCCCTGTCTATATCTCTCCCTCCCTTCTCCAACAATGAGAAACTTGCTTTCATTATTCTTCATGTGTATGTAACCAGTTTTCTAACCCTTACCAGGCATGGATGGTCTTAGTTTCCTGATTGAGCTTTTCCAGTTTTATAGATGAAAAAATAGTAAGGTGAGATCATAGGACAATAAAGGACATTACAGCCCAGGCCCTTTGGCATGTGGTCGTAATGATAATATGGTCAGATGGTCAGATGTGGAGTTTCAAATTCGTCACATGGTGTTGTTACCAGCTGTGCTACATTCAGGCTGTGCAACTTTGGGGAAGATAATCTTTTTAGCCTGATATCAAGAAGAGCTTCATGATAGTGCCTGTCTTTTAAGATTCCTGTGAAAAGGGAATGACTTATTATATGCTTTGACTTATTAATGCTACTATCATCATCTCTACTATTATTAGTCTACACTTTTATTTACGTTGCATTTAACCAATAGTTATTTAGTATGTATTGAGTGACTACTGTGTGGCAAGCTCTATACCAAGTATTTGGTTTACTAAAAATAATGGGGAGATCATGTTCTCTTCAAGGAGATCACAGTGTGATGCTTAAAAGCTGCACCTCCATGTTTCAGAAGTTCCCTGCATGGCAATAAGAGCAGTTAATTTTGTTTTAATTTAAAGAAAATGAGTGGTTTATCACATTTGATAGACTTAATGAAATCTTTTTCGTAGTAATTTTCCTACTTCCCATCTCCAAATAAAGCATCAAACTTTTTCTACAGACTGAAGAACGCAAAGATAGTGATGATGAGAAATCTGACAGGAACAGACCCTGGTGGAGAAAACGTTTTGTTTCAGCCATACCTAAAGGTAATTTTATATCAGTATCAGAATGCTGCTAGTAACAAAAAGCAGAACCGCAAAACCTCTTTCAAAGACCCAGTATCAATTCCTTTGTGAGACTTATGGGCCTAAATCTTCAATTATTTTTTAAGGGTGTATATAATGGTTTTATTCAGAATAGACTAATGTAGACCTTTAGAAAGGACAGTTTTTGTTCTTTACAGGATGTCATAATGGTTCCAGAAGTGGAATTCATGAAAGTCATGGTTGTTTAAATATCATCATGCAACATAGATAATTTATGGCTGTTAATTATTGCAGAGAAAAGGGATGCTATTGGCAATTGTGCATTGAAAAGTCAATGAGAATGTTTAAATATTGGTGTTTATTTTGGAAGTCAGTTGCTTACAATTATTGGCCTTTTTTTTTTTATAATACTTCCTGGTATGTAGCCTGGCATCATATCAGTAGATACTGAGATTTGAGTTGGCAAAAGTATCTCTTCTTTAGAGAGATCTTAAAATATTAAAGCTAGGAACGTCTTCCAAAGCCCTCGTTTGAGCTCTGGCACTGAGGAGCTACAGAGAGCTGCTTTCACGCCATACTCAAGCCCACTTGATAAGGGGGAGAGAATGATACTCGGAGTTTTGAATGTGTTGTTTTTGAGCAGAGGTTAAGAGGCAATGGTTTTGATTTCTTTTTAGTGGATTCCTATTGAATCATTCTTGATCCCAAAGCAGATTCTTCTGAAAGCTTATTTAAGAGCCTTCAATGCTATTTTGAGAATGATTACCAGTGACACTCCCAGTTTTTTAGCTTTTAAACCCTTCAGCCTCTTTTTCACTTAGAAATGTTGGCACACCAGTAACTCCAAAATGACTGCTGTCGTCCGAGTAGTGCAGTATGTTATATGTCACACTACTGACTTTATTTAATTTCCAGCTCCTATACCATTTAGAAAGAAAGAAAAACAAGAAAAAGACAAAGATGATCTGGGGCCTGACAGATTCTCAACACTCACAGGTTTGTAGACCCATGGACTTCCTGGCTCCTTCATTCCCAGAGCACATATTTCATAACACTTTTTCTTGGGTGCCATAAACGTTACCTTTTTAGGAGAGAGAGAGAGAGAGAGAGAGAGAGTGTGTGTGTGTGTGTGTGTGTGTGTGTGTGTGTGTGTGTACACACACAGTGGGGAGTATGTTCTTCACAGCTTGTGTGGTTTCTGTTTGGCAGCCACAGTGAATCTCAGTGTGCTCTTCCTGCAAACCACCACCACCATCATCATCCTCATTATCATAGCTTCTGTTTATGATGAGGCCCCTGATCCTGAGCCTGTAGGCTTACCGTACAACTCCACATCTAGCAGGATGATGACAGGGAGTGCCATTTAGGAAAATTGTAGTGATGGTTTCAGTACTGTGCATGCCATATCTTTGGATCTTTGGGTAGTTTTCTCTAATGTTGATCATAGAACTATAAATTTATTTTCATTTATAGTTTATTGAGGATCACAGCGAAATCCTGTTTTTCCTAATCAGTTTCTATTTGGTGATAAGCATTTATTCAAACAGTGTTATAAATGCCAGCAATTATAGTAGAAGTTTTATAAAATCTACCAGGTTTTTCCAGCTTGAACCATTTTAACATTGCATTTTAACAAAAGAGAGTATAAGTAGGAGTTGAGTTCTTAATTTGTATTTCTGCAGCTTCTTTTTGGCACATTATGAATAAGTGTCCTAAAAGGAAAGAGTTTGAAGGTAGTATTAATGACACAACCTTGAGTTTGACAGTTGTGTATACTCTTTTCCCTGGCTATAACACATCTAGGGGGGAGTTCATGTCTCATTCTTTATTTCTTGCCTTGATTTTAAATGTTATCTTACTAAATTAAAAATAAAGAAACTCTCTAAAACTGGGATAGATTTTAAAAGAACATCCTCCTCAATGAATTCTGCATAATATGGTAGAATCCCATTTTAATGCATTTTATTTTAATATCTGGTCCTATATAGTTAGAGATATATCTCTTTGTTAATATACATCCTTCCTTTATCTGATATAGTGGCCTCCCTGAAAGAAAAGATTTTGAACAACAGGGAGATGTACTTATAGGCAGGACTTTACTGTTGGAAACAATCATCTATTCAACCATTAAGCACATCTTGAATATGATTCATGCCAGGTACTATATTTTAAAATATTTAAGAAATTGGAGAAGTTATCAGTTATTTACTTGTTTCTTTTTATAATACATTCATCTTTATTCTTGATGCTCAGACTAGAAGCTAGCTAGAGAATAGTAAATTTTTCCTCATGAAGAAATTAATTTTCTTGGTGTATGATTTAAGCAGCTAACTCCTTACTGGTGCAGAAATTGCTATACAGACCTAATTAATGACTTATTTAAAAATTAACTCAATTTTAAAATGTTACAAAAGGAAATTTCTCACCAGGCTCTAATCCACCAACCTAATTACTTTTTCCATTTTCTCTTCCAATCTTTTTTCATATTTATATATGTGTTTATTTCTAATAGAATCAGTCTTTATGTAACTTTGTATTCTTTTAACATATTATTCATAAACTCCCTATTTCTACTAGATGTAGCTGGATTTTTTCTCCTTTCATTGCTATAAAATAATCTGTATCTGTTGATACTGTAGTATCACCATTCCATTATTTGGATATTAAAATTGCTTTTAGGGGGTTTTTTTGCTATAAAAATACTTAACACAACTTTGTTTAGATAGCATGTTTAATTATTTCCCTAGTATGACTTTACAAGAACACAAGGGCATAAGTAAGATAAAAATTTACCTTTTACAATGTCTAGTTTAAGTGTACTGCCAGCAAAACTTGAAAACTATAGCCGAAAAGTACTTTCCTTTAAAAAACAAACTGTAACTGATAAAGGTCTTATCATTGACTACTTTACAAAGATCACATTTATTAGAAGTGCCATATCATATATTCAAATGCCATTATAACAGAAAAGTTACTCTGGAAATCTCCTTTCTCTATATATGCTTTGCTACTTTACAGGATAGGAGTTCCAAGTATTTGTTTCATGGAAACAAAAGACGAGCTTGTGGAGCTGCTGCTTATTTTCTCCATGCCTTTGTTTCCTCTTCTATAGAATGGAGGCACTAATAGTACCTCCCTGTATGGTTGTGATGATGGTTAGTTCTCTTGAGATGCTTAGCACAGTTCCTGGCACTTGATTAAGTTGGCTGCTCTTAACGGTAGCTGCCGGTAAAATATCACATGTATACATACACAGGCATGTAATCCATTGAATCTGGTGTCTCATTAGGATTTAAAAAAAAATGGGATTCTACCACCTGCTTGGCCTAGATCTATCCCTAGAGTTTATTACTATGGAGCTTAATATTGTCCCATAGATCTGTAGCAATTCTTTGCTTTGACAACTCAATAATTCTACCATTTTGGACTCTAGTAAAACATGTCTGATGTGCTGATTTTATTGACATGATAAACTGGCCCTGTCAGTAAGCAGAGCGTCTTCTCTGTGCACCCCATGTACAATTATAGCACTCCCCAAGAATGTCTCAATTGCTGAGGAGTGCATCCGACATCATTTGGCGTAAAAAGTGCTCTCTTCGAGCAGCTGCACTGTCATGGTGAAATTTAGTAAGACAGAATTTGGATATATATAGTTTTCAAATATGATAAAGAGATTGAGTTTCATGAAGGGTGAATGGAGTAAAAAAGTTATTATTTAAAAAAACTTTAAGTTTGAATACTTTACCTGCTTTTTTCCCTCCTTTAGCATAGAGATATCTGACTAAGTGGAATCTGCATATAAAAATACATTGTTGAAACATTCTGTTAGCATGAATTGCTAATAACTATGCTCTGGTGTAAGCACTTTAGAAACCCGTCATCCATTCAGTCTGCACTGAATTTTGACACTGTCATGCAGAATTCTGGTGATGATGAGAAAGTGGAGCTACACCTCCCAGTGTCCTGCTTTTGCAAGGCTCTAAGACCTAGAAACGGGATGAGTAGGCAGCTGCATGGTGCCTATTAACATTGAGATATGTGCTCTTTTTTAAGTTTTACCTCCTAATCTGCCTTTGGGATTGTGCTTCTGGTATCGTACTAACATCAGAATTGGTACAAGGTAGAGAGAGCTAATGCACATACTCTCCTTTCCCTGCAGATGACTCCAGTCCTAGACTCAGTGCACAAGCTCAAGCTGCTGAGGATATTTTAGACAAATACAGGAATGCTATCAAACGAACCAGCCCCAGTGAAGGAGCATTGGCAAACTATGAGAGTACAGGTGATAAAAATGATAAAGATTTCCATAATAGCTTTTATATGCCAGCAGTAATCGGATTAAAGTGATTGTTGTTGTTGTTGTTGTTATGTGCCGTTGAGTCGCCTGCGACTCATAGCGACCCTATGTACAACAGCCCTAAACTCCGCTCTGTCCTGTGCCAATCGCACTGTCTCTGACACTCCCATGTTTTGTTTTGTTTTTTTTTTAAAAAAAAACCCAAACCATAAAGAAAAGCTAGGCAGCGCGTGGCAAAGAATTCAGAAGATAGTTGTGCTGTGTTTGGCGGCGCCGGGGCACTGCGAGCCCGGTAGCTGCTGCGCCAGCCCTATTTTCCGCGGCTGTATATGGAATAGCGCTTCGGTAGCCGCAGACCTGGAGGGGAACCTGGAGTGTGGCCAGTTCTTGGCGAGCAGAAAGGAATGTGATGGCACTGCCAGAAGTGTTTTGTTGCATTATATTAATAGTCTTGCAAAACAGCTACTATTAGTATTTCTGGTTTTCTAGAAAAGGAAATTAAAACACAAAGAAGTTGAAGAAAAAAAAAGAAAAGCTAGGCAAATCTAAATTTTAAACCAAATCAAGTTGAAGCTTCTGAATTGTTCCTCTATGGCTAACTGTTCAAATGCTTTAGAGTAATCATCCTTTAAGTCTGAGGTGACAGGCCCAGAAGGATTTGGAGTATACTTTAATAGGAAAAGGTTCTTTTTTATTTTCTACAGAACTATAATTTTAACTGTAATTTTTACCTTATATGTTCACTCAGCATATATGTGGAAGCTGACCCTGAAAGTTGACAGGTTTCCCATTGTTGTCTTGGTACTAATTTCTTTATAGAGTTTATTTTTCTCACAAGGGAATACTGGTCCCTTAGATAAGTGAAGGAACCCCCAGAAAATAATGTCCCTTAGGTAAGTGAAGGGGGAGACAAAAGTGCGTATAAGCATAGGTAGTGTGCATTTATGCTTCATTGTGCATAGTGTCCCTAAAAGAATGCATAAGAAAGAGGTAACATGTGCTAGCTTTGGGGAGGACTTCTAGGGAACATCAGAGGAGAAGAGGGAAAAGAACTTTTGGTTTGCAAAGTTTGACGCAGCAGAAAAATTAAAAGACTAATGAAGATCCATATACCCACTGCCTAGACTTGAACAATTTTACTACCTTTTTCCCCTAAAGCCTTTGAAATGAAATTATAATATTTTCCTATATAATCACAATATCCTTATTACCTTTTTAAATTCCTTTTGGTTTTACATGTGTACATACATAGGATCTGTTCTTAATCCGTTAATGTAAACAGCTCTGGGAAGTGCAGATCTTCCTTGCTGTGTTCTTGAGGTAGTTCCCAGGCCCATTCTTGGGCATAGTGGGTGGAGCTTTCATCAGATCTGAGCCCTTGGTCCACCCCAGCCACTGGCTAACAGAGGCATTTATGGCAAGCCTTTTTCTGATTGGGCAGAATTCCATATTTATAAAATGATGTAAAGTAGTTTGAAGTATCTTTTCATTTTGAGGGGGCTCTGGTGGCTTAGTGGTAAGAAGTTGCACTGCCAACCAAAACACACGTGATTTGAATCCACCAACTGTTCTACAGGAGAAAGACAGGCAGTCTCCTGCCTCTGAAAACCCACTGGGAGGGTCAAATATGAGTTGGTTCCAACCCAGTGGTGCATAGCAACAACGATTTCATTCTGGATTTAGTGTTGTTGTTGTTGTTGGGGGGTTTTTTTTAGTGTTTTTAATTATAGAAAACTAACTTTATTACAATTAATACACACTTATTTTTAGAGTGTTGTTTGTTGTTGTTATGTGCCGTCGAGTAGGATTGAAATAAGAAGTAAAATTCTTTTCTTCTCTAAACAACTGACTTCTTGAGGAGCCCTGGTGGCAAAGAGCATTACGTTTGGGGCTAGTAACCGGAAAGGTCAGCAGTTGAAATCCATCACCAGTTCTCTTCTGGAGAAAGAGTTTCCTGCCTTGAGGATGTGTAGCCCAGCAAACCTGAGTGAAGTCAGCATCGACTTGACTGTGATTGAATGGAATTGATAACTTAAACAAGTTTACATGCTGATGAGTTGTTGAATTGCTTCGAATACTTAGCAGTACCAGAATATCCCAGAGTTAACCTGTCTGTCCTTTTCTGGGGGTGGGTTTCAGAGGTTCTGGGTGATGGTGAAAGTGCACATGATTCTCCTCGGGATGAAGCACTGCAAAACATCTCAGCTGATGATCTCCCAGACTCTGCGAGTCAAGCGGCCCACCCTCAGGATTCCGCTTTCTCTTACAGGTATTTCTCTTGTACGATTTAGAACTTTGGGAGTTAGACTTTGTAGTCACTTCAAGTCAAATGATTGTTTCACTTAAATGTATATAAAGCAGAGCAATAAGAATGACACTTTTTTGTTTTAGATCTAGGTGTCATATATGAGAATCATTAATTCAAGGTTAAAAAAATGCGTTTGTCTGCAGGAGCCACATAGGTAATCTCAATGAGACGTGAGTCAGTGCCTCTCTCCACCCAAAGCTACTAGCAGTCCACATGTGAAATGTCAGGGGAGGGCAGAGGTAATTCTAGGCCTGGATCAGCTGTTGAGTAACCCATTGTCTCCAGTAGTTAAATAACCCAGTGTCCCCAGTAGTTGGATAACTCACTCTACCCTGTAACTGAGCACTCTCTGTTTGTCATTTCCCTAATGTCCTGGGCAAGTCTCTATGTCTCACAGAGCTTTAAAAAACAAAACTTTCGGGACGTTTTGTTTCATAGAGCACTTTGGCTTTGCCTGCCAAGGAACGTCCATTTTAAGACTGTAGTCATGTACACTTCATAGTATCTGCATTTAGCATTTTATTTCCACTGGGATGTTCAAAGGACAGTGCAAAATAAAGTCACTATCTGGCATTGTTGGTTTTCTTGGCTTTGTGCATGATAACTCTGGCATTTGTATTCATATACTTTGAGAGAAAAAGACTCGTCATTTTACAAAGCTTTTCTTTCTCTGCCACTTTGTAAGTTTTTTTCTTATAGAAATTTTCAAATATAGAAAAATTAAAAATACATTGATGGATCCATTATCAGGGTTCATCAGTTATTAATACATGAAAAATATTGTCTCATACATACCCATCCCTTATATTAATTGAAAGCAAAATTCAAATAGCAAATTATCACACATACAAGTAATATGATATTATGCCTACTGTAAAATTAGAGAGATAGACTGCCGTTTTACTTTTAAATCATGACTTTATTTTGCTAAATTCACCAGGTCACTTTACCTTTATATACTTTATAAGAGACTTTGCAAAGTGAGTGAGTGTTAACATTTGATCAGTTACTCTCACAAGAAAACATTTTTTTTTTAAAAAGAAGTGAACCAATAAGGAAAGAGTCTGAGCTAGTCAGAGGAAGATCAGACTGCCCTGTGCTTGTACTCTGGTATATTTAGGCTCCTTTCTTCAGTTGGTGTATCCAAACATTCTAAAGAAGCTCTGGTCCATGCCCCACAGGATCAGAAAGGGCTACAGATAATAGCAGATGAAAGAAACTCAGTTGTATCTCCTAGTATGAAGAGTTGCATTTTTGTGGAGGGTGACACCTCACTAAAGGTGTACTCTACCACTCGGTAGTGTTCAGTCAGTAGCTGAATGTTAAAAAGAAGCAGGCTTGGACTCAACACAAAAACCCCTCCCATGCAGTTGAGCACTAGGAAAGGTTTTCTTGTCAGATGATACAGTTGTCTTGTAGCAGGATTAACATATCTCCAGAAATGTAGAAGGGATCCAGTTCTTACTTTATTGATGAGAGCATCTCATGACTTCTAATAGATCCTGTCTATCCCGGTACTAGTATAATAAAATTTCATGACTCTTCTCATGTGCCTAGGAGGGATCTCAGTGTATGATAGAAGTTCAGAAAGGATTTGCTTATTGACTAATAATGGGGGCTCTACAGAATGGTCCTTGGCCCAGAACATTTTTACAACCTTGCTTTGTGGGTAACTAGAAATGATGTTCCTTTAAGTGAGTTGTCAATAAGTTAAAAATGATCTTTATTTCTGACTGTTAGAGGTTGTTGTTGCTAAGTGCCATTGAGTCGTAAACGACTCATAGCGACCCTATGAATGAAAGACCTGAACACTTGTGTAACTTTCATAGTTTCTCCAAGTTCATAGAGTTTCTGGAGGTAAGCTATTTTGGAAGTGGATGCCACTCCTGCTTCTAAGCTGTTTTAATCGGGGAGCTCCACCACTGTCCACCATGGGTAACCATTATCGCATTTGACACATCAGTGTCACAGTGTTTAGCATCACAGCAACCATGAAGTACTTCTGTATGGCAAATGGACAGACCAGTGTCATGCCACTCAGAAGAATGTCTGACCAAAAAAAATTAAAAATTAGGCCTGAGGGCTGCAGATTAAAATAAGAGGCTGAGTACAATCAACTCACAGCCAACAGCCAGTAAACAATACCCCAGAGACTTACCAGAACCAGAAATCCAAACCTCTGTAGAGTCAGACTGCTTCAGAATACTCCTCACCTGCATCCCTTACTGGGATGACCATTTGAGGCAAAATGGCACAACTTTGGGTAAGGAAATGAATGCATTTTATTGATATAACTAATTTTATTGTATTAATTTTATAATAAAGTTAATTAATACGGTTTTATAAATTGTATTCCTCAGAGATGCGAAAAAGAAACTAAGGCTTGCTCTTTGCTCTGCGGATTCTGTTGCCTTCCCAGTGCTCACTCATTCAAGGAATGGCTTACCAGACCACACAGACCCTGAGGGTAAGTTGCTCCATGATAGTTTTACCTGTGTTTATAGATCAAACTATATGAAATTGCCAGTATTCAGCTGCATTTAAGCTATCCAGCAATTCCATATGATCACTTAAGAGCACTTTGATTACTGATGGTTAGTTGATGGATTCTATAGTTAAATGGTTCTTTATGTGAGAGTGGTGTGCACTATACGAGCTGTACGTTTGGATGTTAAAGACCACTATTTAAGCCTAAGGAAATGATTTTATTTTTAAAAAAATAACAATTTATTATTTTTGTTTGTTTAGACAATGAAATTGTATGCTTCTTAAAAGTTCAAATAGCTGAAGCAATTAATTTACAAGATAAAAACTTAATGGCTCAACTTCAAGAAACAATGCGCTGTGTGTGCCGCTTTGATAATAGGACTTGTAGGAAACTGCTGGCTTCTATTGCTGAGGACTACAGGTAAGTGAACCTGTGCAGCTCTTAGATCTAAATTTCAACTGCATTTTCTCTCAGTCTTCCTTCACAGACAAACCTAGACTTACTATAGAATGCTTGGCTATATTTACCTAGATGTTGATTAGAAATGTAGTCATAAATGAGCTGCTCTTCCTAATGCAGTGCCGATCAGTTGAATATTCTTTATAAATATTCTATGAATATTCTTCACAAACATACAAGATGATTCTGTTTCTTGAACTGACAGCATTAGTACTGCAGAAAATCTACTAGAGCCATATGTGCCAAGTTGTAAAACCAAAATTTATGATTTTTTTTAATATATACTGTATAACATTACAAAACATTACGACTTAACTTCAGAGACATTGATCCCAACATAAGGAACTACTATAAGCTGATGTGTTTAGAATCACAGACACCATGGAAGCTTCATATATAAGTTACTAGATGGAGGGCTGGTCAAAGGGAGATAGATGTGAAGGGAGGGGGTAGAAGTGGATGGGTATCCTGGTGGATGGTGGAGCAGGGAAATAAGTGAGTAAAGACGAGTGTGAGAAAGGCAGGGACAACACTGACACTAAAGTTAACTCCGCATTAAAGGATATACCTTTAAC